AATAATTTACATGTTCTCATATAAATTACGGCTACTAACTTATTGTGCAAATATTTCCAAATAACTTAATTCCCTAATGTTTTAAAAAACAATACTGATGTATTAGGCAAGTTTATAATCTTTATAAGGAGGATTAAAAATGATGGAATATATTATATAAAGCTATTTAATTATTTCCTATGACAAATGAAACCATATTAAGACTTTGATATTTAAATACATATGAATTACAAATATAAGATTAAAATATGTATAAGTCTTCAAAAAATATAAGTCTTCTTTAAAATTAAATCTTGAAATGTGTTTGTCTACTATTATAAACAATAATCAATCTCAGCAGTTTTGATTGGTACAATTTGTGACAACTTGGAACTTTGTATCTTTGCTGATAAAACTGTTTGAAGTCATAATGGACAGATTCGGAAGCCTGTTCTGACCAAAAACCAAGACCTTTTCGAGGGTACTTGTCAACCATTGATCCCAATAAAGCTAGTACATGGATGACTAGAGCATGTACTTTTGGGGATACTTTCAATGCCATATATGCTTCCTTGTAGGAATTAATGTGATTCTTGTAAGAAATGTCCAAACTTAGACCAAATCAAAGTTTCTTCACATTATTTAGTGCTTTCCTTGCACTCATAAGTTTTATCAATTCATCTGGTACAACTTCAAAATTGGATTTGAGAATATTGTCTAATGTTTTAATGTTATCCAATAGCTTTGAACATTGTTTTTTATTAAACTGGCCACTCTGTAATCTTGCCCTAATAAATTCAATTGATTTATTCCACTTATCCATGGAAATTTTCTGTTTCTGTTTTTAAAAGTATTTTATCACCTATATTATACAAACAGTTTGTGTTTCCATAAAATAATTGAATCCCCATTGGAAGAAGAATTTCTGCAACAGATGTATCATCTGGTAGGTCTATCAAAGGAGTTAGGACACAATTTTTAAATGGTACAGCCGAGAGTTTACTTTTTTCTGTGATTCTCACAAGCTTTTTTGTACTTTTTTGTACTTTGCATTATCTCTAATCATACCAAATGTTCTGGAAAAAAAGTAGACTAAAATCCCAAATTTAAAAAATATCCAGAACAATGTTTTGACTGTAAAAAAATAATTTATAATGCTATACTAATTCCTAATTACCTTATGTGGCCACAGGTTGTGAAATCCTGCATGTCTTGCTTTGACAATTCACACCAACTGCAGGGGTTAGTAGAAGAAGCAGATTCAATTCCAAAATAAATATTTGCAAGCTTTAAGTCAAATGCTAAAAAATACTTCTTAGTCGCAATTCCCAATATTTCTATGATTTGCCTAATGTTTTGGTGATTCTCTTTAAAATCTTCAACAATGGCCAGAATAATGAGTTTCTTAACTCCTCCTTGAACTTGTCCTGCTTTATTCCTTCTCTATATGAGAACTTGGTTTTGGTTTCATTCACTTTACAATCAAGAACATTTAAAGGGATCCCCAAGTGCCCAGACAAGTTGTGTTCATATCATAGATAAACATTAGAAAATAGGTTAAATTAATAATAAGTTAAAAGTTTATTAAAATTAGTTAAAAGTTAAAAGAAAATAAGTTAAAAGTTAATTAAAATTAAAAAATAAATAAAAAATTTAAGTTAAAACTTTCCAAAACAAATTATTGAATAAAGTATTAACAAAAAACTTTTTAATTTTAATTAAAAATGCTATTTTGTTTCTGGCGAAGGAAAGTTCCAGCTCTTTGACTATTTTTATTTTTTAAATCAGGTCTGATTAATGCAAAAAGTTTCTTTTAAAAAAAATTAAATTCCATGGGTTTCCCTTTTAACGGTTAAACGAAATTGTAATATTCAAGTTTTTAATATAAATTTTATATACATCTGAAAAATATATATTAGATCATTTTTAAAACAATTTCTTGAATTAGAAATATAAATTATTATAAGCATAAGTTAAAAATATATATAAGATCATTTTTAAAACGGTTTCCTTAATTTAATAAAAAAATAAAGATTTTTCAAAATTAAAATTGTTGGATGATATTGTACTTAGTGGTGTATATAAAAAAAATAATTACTTATTTTCTTAGAAAAAGATTAATCTTGTGTATTTTAAAGTTCGCTTCACCTAAATTATTATTTTTATTATGTAATTTATTTAACTCAAACACTTAACGATAGGCTAAACAAAAAACAAAAACATGCTACAGCGAATGTTATTATAATCACCACAAATTAAATATAAAGGGGAAAACCCTATCTAATTGTGTAAAACTGAACTGAGTTCAAAAAACTCTGTGGTAAGCGAAAACATTTATTACTAAAACCAGATTATTTTTTTTTAAGGGAAAAAACTATGCAGATTCGTAAGGTTAATATTAACCTTTTAAAACCGAAAGTATAATGGCAAAACAACAAGTGCTTTTACTAATATCCCGGTGAGAAATGAGCTAGCGATATCGATAGCTTTTCGCTAACTTAAAAAAGCTAGCGATCCTCGTGGCCAAATTGCTGTCTTTATTGTTACGATTATAGCTAGCTATTCGCTAGCCGATTTCCTACCGGGATCTCATTCAATAATTAGCTCAGGCACATTTGTACAGTAGACTTAATATTTTGCTTGCTTATTGATTTAAAGTTCTGCAACATTAAAGAAACAATCTAAAACACAAGTTTTTCTTTTAGATTGGTGTCAAAAAATCTCTCCTATCCAACTTCTAAGAACACTACAAGCAGTTTCTGTTTGGGAATCACTTAACCCTAGTACATTTTTGAATCTTGTGACTTCACTAGCTGGCATCTAGTTTTCAGAAAAAAGGGCTTTCAACTTTGTTTTCTTTGGAATTTTGATATTAAAATTTTTAGGTCCTTTGTTAGCAAGCTTTATTGAATCACCTGCATCCACTTCAGATAGTTTTCGCTTTAGGATTTTAGTACCAAAAAGCTCTGTACCTTTCTCATCTGAAATATATTAATATATTTATTATAATAATCTCATCTGAAATATATTAATATATTTAATATCCTAATGTATTATATCTTTAACATCAAAAATTGTATGAACCGACATAATACTATATTTTATTGGTTTTAACAAAAATTATTATTGCACAAGTGGTTTTAGGTTAAATAATTATTATATATATACATACTGACATACCTCGAGATAGATTCACCTCAAGATTATCCCTACGAATTGAAATATTGCAAGATTGAGGTAAACCTCGTTCTAAGTTACATAGACAATCTTTGACATTCAGATATGGGTAGGGGAAGTGGCAGAACTGATTCAGTGGATACTCGTCTTCCTTTTTTTTGATTTTTTACTGATCCTGGGTAGATAGTTTTCCTTGCAACAACGCAAACTGCATACTCACATGTAGTCTGACTTCTTGTAATAATGGAAGTTCTTATTCCAGAAAAATCATATGGTGCTGGATTGCTTTTGGTTCTTTTATACCTTTTTCAATGAGTTCCAGAAATTTAATCTAAATAGTCTAAATTTAAGATAAAATAATTTTGAAGTTTTTTATAGGTTGGGCCAGTTATTTCTCTAATTGTTTTGTCTTTCTTAAAGCACACAATGCAAACTTTTTTTTGGCTATCTTCGTGGTTTAATGCCTGATTAGGCATCATTAAAGTACTGGTGGTAAAAAATGGAGACTTTGCTGAATATATTAAAGGAAATATCGAGTTTCATGGTTATCTTTGATTTGCATAGATTTCCTTTTATTGATTTCGATAGATATCTTGTTACAAAATTAATTCCCTCTAGACAATTATTTCTAACACTCGTTTAGAATAATGATTAACGATTGCAACACAAGCAATTCCTCTTGGAGACCTATATGAAAAACTCTAAAGCAATTGCTAAACTATTCCCTCAAAGAATTTTTCCGCACAAGGAAGTTGGAATAACTTGTTTTTTAATAGTTTAATACATATATGAAAATGTTGAAGAAAAACATTAATTCTCTTTCCTATAAACAAGAATACAAAACATCATATGCTTGTTCTTAATAACATTTGACACATAAAAACCTATACTAAAATGTTTGCCTGTCTATTAAAGCTTTTAAAATATGTAATAGTCATTGAACAATTCATTACTGATTAAAATACTTAATGGATATGCAAGGAAAAGTACTGGCTTTTTCGGTTTACAAAAATGTCTTTTTTTTCTTGGACCTCGAAATTTTATTTCAAAGGTGTTATTTTTTGAAAATAGAGGTCAGTATGGATCCAAAAAAGTCACATGACCCTGGGACATTTTTTTTGGTTTGAACCTACTTTCACCGGGGTGTGCATGGTTCCCAATGCAAACAAATAGCATAGCTGCGTTTTGTCATAAATGTTTCTGAATAGTTTTTCAAACAGACAGTCAGTTCGCTCATTGCATTGTGAGATTGCGTATATTGTGTTTAATATGCAGTCTTGCATCTTGATGCGTGTCTAGAATCTAATATCAAGTTTTGGTACCAATGAAGTTCAAGTACTTTTGTGCTTTTTTCTGAAAGTAACTCATTACAAAGTAGAAAAGCAAAAAAGTGAAATGTAACGATTGTGAAAGTACTGTGTTGTAAATGTAACTTGTTACATAAGTACTTGCAAAAATTAAGTTCTCACAAAGTAAATATACTTTGTTAAACCCAACACTGCTATTTTGTGATATTTGAGACATTTTTACATTTCTTCTTTAACGAATTTAGTTTAGAAAATTTTATCTATATTTTATAAAAACCAGTAAAAACAAGATTAATATTTCTTATGCTTACTGGAAACCCGTGAAATATATTTTTACTGTGGCGTTGCAATACTTGGTGGCTTGTAGACATTCTTTTATCGATTTTTTTGCAACCCTTTAATAAACTAGACGACCCTCAATCCTAATAAAAACTTGGTGGCCCTCTGGACTTTGTCTACTATGTCTACCCTATTGTGACGCCTCTGCAGAAATATAAATTTATATATTAATATTGTTTTTTTTTTTTTTATCTACAGATCTGTGTTGTTGCAGGTTCTTGTACTGCAGGTGCTGCTTACATACCTACAATGTCAAATGAAGTAGTAATGATAGACAAAATAAGTAGCATATTTCTGGCGGGACCACCTTTAGTTTTTGCAGCTACTGGCGAACAAATTTCTGAGCAAGATTTGGGTGGGGCATCAGTTCACTGTAAAGTTAGTGGTTGTGCAGATTATATGGTAAAAGATGAAATAGAAGCATTAGAAATAACAAAAGATATAATGTCAACTTTGAACATGAAAGTTTTTATTAATGAACATACAAATATCGAAGAACCGATTTATGATATTAAAGATTTATCTATTTTGCAGTTTGCTCGTAACGATAATGGATGCTTGCTTATTAAGCAAATTATTTCGCGAGTTGTTGATGGCAGTCGATTTCACGAATATAAACCATATTTTGGAACAAGCATTTTGACAGGATATGCTCGTATAAATGGAATTCTAGTTGGTATTTTAGCAAATAATGGTTCATTTACACCAGATGGTTGTTTGAAAGGTTCTAACTTTGTTTCTCTTTGTAATGAAAGAGGTATTCCTTTGATTTTTTTCCAAGATATAATGGAAAATAGTTCTAAAGACGAGACTCAATTAATAAAATATATATCACAACTAATGACAGTTGTTGCTACTGCGTATGTCCCAAAAATAACTATCCTCATTGGTAATAGTTTTGGAGCTGGTCACTATGCGATGTGTGGCAGAAGTATGTCACCAAGATTTTTGTTTAGGTGGCCTGGTTCAAAATTGTGTATTGGAGACTTTTATGATAAAGAAATACACCTAGACTTTAATGAGAAAGAAATAAAAAATAACAACGCATTAAAACAATATGAATTCGAGAAATCAAGTTATTATGGTTCTGCAAGATTATGGGACGATGGTGTAGTTCTTCCACAAGACACTCGAAGTGTTCTTTCTCTTGCTTTAAATGCTTGTCTGACTCATAAACAAATATTATGTGGTTCGGTTCAAAGTGTTTTAAGAATGTAATACACGTCTTTTTTTTTTACACTTAACTAAAATATAGCAAAAAAAAAAAATGTAACTTGTTCCGACTCAAATTATCGTGTTCTTAGAGAGAACAGAAAATGTTAGGAAAAAAAATTAAATTTGAAGCGTTTCAAACAAACAACTATGCACAAATACTTCTCGTTAGTTATGTTTTGAATAGGCCAAAGTAAGTATATCTAAATATCTCCATATAACGCTTTAGTTATGTTTTGAATAGGCCAAAGTAAGTATATCTAAATATCTCTATATAACGCTTTAGTTATGTTTTGAATAGGCCAAAGTAAGTATATCTAAATATTTCTATATAACGCTTTAGCTAAGAATTATTAAACATTTGAGCTTCAATTTTGCGCTATCGGTAAAGAAGCATAAATTGCCTAGTTAAATACTCCTCCACGTTGCTCTGTGACAAGACCGTTAGGTCTTCTTGGGGCACCTAAAATAAAAGTAATATATAGATCAAACATTTCATATTTATGAAGAAGTTTTAATATTTTATTATTAGTAACCTGAAAACCAACTTGCTAATAATAATATGCTTAACCCTTTCATTACCAAATAATATACAGTAAAGTGATTGTAAATTAAATGTTATCATCGATTAAAAAGCTATAAAATAAAAAATATTTTCTTTCTGAGCAATATTTTATAATAAAATATTAGAATCCATAAATAAATTTTAATCTTGTCTAATAAGAAAATTGATTTTCACATTTTTTGCCATGTTTTTTTGCAAACAACGCGGTTTAACTATTAGAGTTACGTACAAAACTAGGTATAGGGTAGACCGGGGCAATTTTCCCGCGAGGGTAATTTCGCTGCTTTTAATATTTCGAAAAAAAATTATTTTGGCATAACGCCATATTAAGATGATGGAAAAAGTTTATTATTTTAAAATTATAACCTTATAATATATTATTGATTGATTGTAGTTGCCGCCTAATACTATTGATTGTTGTAAATTTTAAAGATGGTTTGCTGTTTAATATTATCAATCGAAATTTATAGTGTCAGTCTTGCACACAATTGGCATTATTAATTTTGTGAAATTGATTGAAACCACATTTGAGGATAACTGCAAAGGTGAGAGTTTCATAAATTTGTAAAAATTATTTGACTGGCGATCGTGGTTTATATTTAATTAGGTTTTTGTCCAAGTAGAATATTGGGGGGTGATTTCGTTACAAAGTGATCAAATAGTCCCTTAGTAAGCATGATTTAAATACATCATTATAAAATGCAAGCATCGATATATATATATATATATGATATATATATATATATATATATATATATATATATATATATATATATATATATATATATATATATATATATATATATATATATATATATATATATATATATATATATATATATGCAATCAATTCGTGTATAAATGTTAGTAGGCCAAAGATTTTCCCTACGAACTGAATGCATGCAATCAGTTCGTGTATAAATGTTAGTAGGCCAAAGATTTTCCCTACTTCGAAAGAGATTGCATTTGTTGGGAAGATAAAATTTGCTACTTACAACCAGCCAAGGAGCACAGGTCTTCGAGATCTAATTGTAGAGAATGTATATGAGGTTACAAAAACTACGTCGTTTCTTGATGCACCATTGCGACTTGACTTTTTGTGGATGTGCGGTGCATGGCTTGGAGTCACTTGTAGACTTGGATATATGGTACTATTCATCGCCGAAAGTTCGAATTGTCTTATGTCTCACCAATGCCTTTAATTAACAATGCCCCAGGAGATTTAAATACAATATACACTTCACTCTTGATGGCTAAAGAAGAGTGCAAGAAAGCTAATCAACTGACATGTTTTATTACTTTCGATCAGCCTCAATTTGCCAAAGCATGCGAATTAGTAGCAACTTCCGGTATTGATGATGATCTAGCTTCAATTGTTGATTTGGGGGTTTCCATTTATTAATGTTCTTCATTGGAGCTATTGGCCAAGTTATGTCTGGAAGCGGATTAGATGAGATTTGGAAAAGTGTTTATGCAAAGGCTTCCGTGGTTTACATGTTGAATGGTCATGCCTATGCACGAGCACTTCGAGCACACTTTATGACCATAGAGCAGGTACTTATGAGATCAATGAAGACATCAGGCGGGTTTACACATGGAAGAGGTTTAACCGACAGTGCACTTTCTCGGTCGATTCTCGGTATGCCCGGATGTTTAACTGTGATAGAGCAGTTGAAACTGGCATAAATGCTATGAACAAAATGGTTAAAATGAATTTAGCCAATATTCATTTAAAACGGATTGATAAAGTTTTATCTTTGGGTTCTTTGACGGCTTTTATGAAGGTCCATGGAAAGAAGTGATTATCAATACTCTGCAGCTCTTTAATCGTATAATATGTAAAGTCAAAACAGATGAAGAACTTGAGGCATGTTTTAAGTACGAGTTGGCACCGAGATCTCCAGTACTTTTTGATGAATCACTTTTAATGCAAAAAAGTTCAAAAGCAGTTCTATGTGATGTATATGTATCAATTGTATCATGTGACAAAACAACACCTGTCTCAAAATTTGTCATCGATGGAGGGTATCTACTTTACCACATTGTTTGGATGAAACTGGCAACATATAAAGATATATATAAATGTATTATATATGCTACATAAATATGGGGAAAACTGTTATGTTGTTTTGGATGGCTATTCTGATAGTCTACCTAATACCAAATCAAAAGAACACAGACGGCGCCAGTCCAAAGCAGTTTCAACAGATGTTATTTTTGACGAACCAATGACATTTAATTCGTTCCAGGCCAATTTTCTTTCAAATCCGAAAAACAAAACTAGATTCATTGAAGCCTTATCAGTGATATACTAATTATCAATACAACAATTAATTTGTCAAGACATGGGAATACAGACTCAATGAACCTGTTGTAATTATAGGAGAAGACACAGATCTGCTAGGATTACTTGTGGCTCTAACAGATTCAAGCAAGACAAAGTTTACAGTGCGAAAATGCTGAGAGAAGGTCTTGGTGACTGCTCTAAGCAGTTATTGTTTTTACATGCAATGTCTGGATGTGATTCAACATCATTTCCTTACCGTGAAGGCAAAAAGCTTTCAAGTTGTTGCACAACAATGTGAATTTATGCAAAGTTGTTGATGTATTTAACAAGCCAGAAGCCGAACACGATGAAATTGCTCATGCCGGAGAATAATTTTTCCTAGCACGATATGGATCAAAAACTAATAATTAATTTCACTTGATAAATTTCGTTATTATGAGTATCTTCGCAGAGTAGCATTAAAACCAGTTCACAAAACATTCGATTTAGCTGTATTACCACCAACAATTTCCGGAACAAAGCAACATTCATTTTGTGTCAACCATCAACTACAGCAATGGCGCGGTAATAACTTGCAAATTATTACCGCACTAATAACAGCAATGGCACGGTAACAACTTGCAAGTTATATACCCCGTTCCAGTGGATCCATAGATCCACTGGAATGGGGTTGGAAAATGATAGGACCAAATCTCTTATCAACATCAAACCTTCAACAGCCAGATCAAGAAAATTTGTTGCATTTTGTGAGTTGTAACTGCAAAATTAGATGCATTAGGAATTGCAAATGCAAAAAAGGTAAATGTATTCTTATGAATAATATTATAATAATAATAATAGCGATTAAAATAACACAAACCAATATATCTACCAAAACAATATATTCCTGTGGTAGTTGATTTGCAATGATTGAAAACAGCAACAATTTAAATTGTATTTAGGTGGCTTGAATTGCTCATCAATATGTGGGTCATGCCATGGAGTGGATCGCTCAAATCCTGCAAACGTAAATGATACCGACACTGATGAAGAAAAAGATTTTGATAATGACGCAAATGGAGAAGTCAATTGTTCAGCTGAAGAGCTAATATGAACAAATTACAATCAAATATATTAAAGTTTGAGATAATATAATTATGATAATTTTGTAACATTTAAAAACACGTGTAGTTAAGCTATTGTTCAATATACGATGTGATATAGTTTAAAGTTTCCAATTTCTTTATTTAATATTTGTATATACAATAGCGTTTTCTTCCAAGCAAATTTTTAAAAGACTTGTAAAACCGTGAGTTTATTATGAACAATTATTTTGTATACCTATATGTATACAACATTTATTAAAAATTAATATTCGATATGCTACATCTTTGTTTCCTCAATGACAGTTTACAAGACACAAAAATTGTTTTTAAAAGTGATAAACAAACTTTCATATTTTAGTTTGGGTGCTGTTTGGGCAGCCATCTTGGATATTATTTTTACCGCAAAAATAAAATTGTGAAAAGTGAGTTGCTTGACATGAAAAACATAATACTTGACGCAAAAATTGTGCTTCAATTTCATCAAAAAACTGAGATATTGAACATTTCAATTATAAAGTCGTTTTTGGACACCATCTTGGATTTTGACAACTAATTTGTTTTTTCATAAAACTAAAAAGGTCAGAAATTATTTTCTTGACTTCATAAACGAAATAGTAGGCACAAGAATTATGTTTCTAAGTGATCTCAAGCACAGATATTACAAACTGTATTTTAAGGTGAGTAGATTCTTATATTCATTCAAAAAAAAAACGGAACCGAAAATATAAAAATACTTCTTCAAGTCTCAGTAAATAAAAAAACCACTCTAATTAAAGAACAAATCGTTATTCCAAATTTAAAAGAAATTTAAACTTCTATTAACTTCTATTATTTATCATTAAACTACTATTGGCTACTTTTTTATACATATCATTAAACTCATCTACTATTGACTACTTTTTTATACATATCATTAAACTCATCTACTATTGACTACTTTTTTAGACATATCAATAAACTCATCTACTATTGATTACTTTTTTATACATATAAAAAATAAAAATATAATGGAAATTTTAAAAGTATTAAAAATGTGAAATATTTTAGAAAACTAAAATAAACAATTTTTAT